AGTAAAGGCAAATCAGCAGTTTTTACAGCTATTGAGAACAAGAAATATAAAATTTATGTTTTTCTTAAATCAATTGGGGTTAGTTTTAGCAATAAGAATGAAGAAGAATGTATAAGTAAATTATCTATAGGAGAAAAGGATATTTTAAAAGAAGCTATGATTCCTTATTTTCCTGCAATGAAAGAAGCGCATATTTTTCACTTAATATCGAAGTCAAGATCAAACAGACCTATTGAAGATTTTCACGAAAAAATAAAGAATTTTTATCAGAAGTTAGATTCTATTCCTGAAGTTTCAAAGATTCTTCAAGTTGTTCAATATACAGATTATCTTGATATAGTTTTTGATTTTGATAATGAAAATATTAAAGATATCAACCCTACTGCTTCAGAAGCCACAAAAGGCACTACTGACTATAAAGACGGAAGACTTTATATAGCAGCTAAGGTAGAAGAAGCTGAGTTATTAGGTACTCTAGCTCATGAGCTAACACATTTGGCAATGCAAATCATATATAAGAATGATTGTAATCCATATGATAAATCAAACAATGATAAACTAGATGATAAACTAGAAGAATTTAAAAAAATAACAGAACTTATTAAAGATGAAGATGATGTTAAACAAACTCTTGATGAGATTAAAAATAACCCTAGTAACATTGATAATAATAGTAAAATTGTGATTCTTGCTAGAGCATTTAGATATCCGGAAAATGAGCAACAATCTGAACTAATTGTAAGAATACCTCATATACTTGTTCAGCATGGTGAAGATGGAAGAACATGGTTTTCTGAACGTAAGCTACGGTTGCTTGACTATTATAAAAAAGATGTGATTCCTAAATGCAATAATTTTGTAGAACATAGCTTTCTTATTAAACCAAGAAATATAGTTAGATCATTAAACCAAAGTATAGGAGAAATAAATAATATTAGAGAATTTGATATACATTTTAAAGACTCTATTAACCTTGATAGCTTTTTTAACAATAAAGATAAAAAAATTCTTCTTTTAAATACAAAAAGTACATTATTAAGTTCCTTAAATATTTATCAAACATTGCAAAATATACAGAGTTATTCTTTACATGATAATTATCTTATTTTTAAGTTTGATCGTTATATAAAACAACAAAATGAAATTAATAAGGCTTTTTATTTAGAAGCAAGTCACCTGCTAGTAGTGGAGTATCCTTCTAATTTAGATGAGAATAAGTTGTCAGAAGTATTAAGTAATTTATCTAGTCTTCTTGATGAGAAATCACATAAAAAGATTATCTTTATAGTACAGGAAAACAAGGTAAGAAAGTTACAAGAAGAATTGAATAAATCAAAATTACTTAATGAATATTTAGAGCAAAAAGACAAGAACTTTGCATTAGATGATTTAGCTGCTGAATCACAAAAGAAACTTTTTGAAAAAAAAGTTATATTTCAAGGAGAGAAAATAAGTTTAAATAAATTAATCAATGAAGATCAAAAAGAACTAATAGATACGGAAACATTGACTAAGCTTATTACTGGTGAAGAAGTTAAGATAGGGAATAAATTACCAATTTCCAGTGGTTATGATAGGGATTACTATATAGACCGTATATTTAATCGCCAAGTAGAGATTAAAAAGGAAATACAAAAAGACCAGGATAATAGAAAATTTCCTGATTCATTAGCTTCTACTAAGGAAGAATTTGAAGGATTATGTCAACAATACCCACAACATAACATTCATTGGTTAAGTGATGAATCAGGAAGATTAATTTGGCAGGAATCTCAAGGATCTATATCTAATTTAGTAAAATATAGAGAAGAAAATAACAATAATGCTAATTATCAAGTAAAAAGCCATGTAATTGAAGAAGAAGATTTAATAAATGATCGTGATGATAAAATAGTAATTATATCTGATACAGCAGGGATGGGAAAAACCACAGTGCTAACTCATTTATCACAAAAGATAAAAGAAAAAAAATCACATTTATGGGTAGTAAGGATTGATTTAAATGATCACACTAATGAACTAAAAAAAGAGTTAGAGGAGCAAAGTTTTAATCGTGATCAGTGCTAACTCATTTATCACAAAAGATAAAAGAAAAAAAATCACATTTATGGGTAGTAAGGATTGATTTAAATGATCACACTAATGAACTAAAAAAAGAGTTAGAGGAGCAAAGTTTTAATCGTGAAGATATAGATAAAGTAATTGATTTTCTAGCAAATAAACTGTTAAAACTTGATAGTCCTTTAGAACGGGAATTATTTGAACATAGATGTAAAAATAATGGTAAAGTAGTAATACTATTTGATGGATTTGATGAGATTAGTCCAGATTATAAAGATGTAGTAATAGACTTACTGCAAATGTTAAGAAGGAGCAAAGTAGAGAAGCTGTTGGTACTACCAGACCACATATGAGGACAGCACTGGAGGATAAGTTAGGGGTATTTGCTTACACGTTAGAGTCTTTCTCTGAAGAGAACCAAATAGAGTTTTTAACTAAGTTTTGGCAAAAGAGCTTAACTAGTGGCAATAAGAATAAACTAAATGAAGATAAACTAAAGACTTATGCTAAGGCTCTAATCAGATTGTTAGCTCAATCAATTAGTGATAAAGAGAAAGAATTTACTGGTATTCCACTTCAAGCTCGAATGTTGGCTGAAGCCTTTCAAGAAACACAAGAAGGAAAAGAGTGGGAAGGATGTAAGGAGTTTAATGACTCTGACCAAGATCAACCTAAATTATCTAAGAAGCTTGATATAACTAGCTTATATGAACTTTTTATTGATAAAAAATACAATATTTACCGTAAAGATAAAAAGAAAGGGGATATAACAAACCTACATGTAAGGGAAGATGATACGGAGCTACGTAAAATATTTGAACAGAATCATAGAAACTCGGCCTTATATACGTTATTTACAAATGAGCAACAAAAAAAACTACTTTTAGAAAAAGAGATAAAAGATATAGAATCCTTCATAAATGAGGTTAAAGAGGGGAGAAAAAGAACTGGAATTATCGATGAAATTATTGAAGGTAAGCCACATTTTATCCACCGTACCTTTGCTGAATATTTTACTGCAGATTTTTTAGTAGGTTGGTTAAAAGAGGCAGCAGCTTCTCAAAATCTACAAGGACAAAAGTTTTTTCTAAAAGAGATTCTAACGCAAGCAGATTATCAAGTTATTCGAGCCTTCATTGAAGGTCAATTAGAAAGGAATGAATTACCAGATAATAGTCTAAAATATTATGGAAATTTGATTAATAAATTAACCCCATGGTTAGCTTCATGGCAAACATCATTCCGAAACAATTTTTGTAATAAGGGTGGGGAAACAGCTTTGCATGTGGCTTTTAGAGAAGGTAATGTAAAGGTTAAGAGTTTTATATTAAATAGCCTTAAGGAACATCCAAGAACTCTCAAGAAATTGATTAATGCTAAAGACAATTATGGCGAAACAGTGCTGCACAGGGCTGCTGAATCTGATAAGTGGGATGTAGTCAAATTGCTGGTAAATAAAGGCGCTGATGTTAATGCTAAAAATAGGTATGGCAGTACAGTGCTGCACTTTGCTGCTAAATCTGATAAGTGGGATGTGGTCAAATGGCTGGTAGAACAAGGAGCTGATGTTAATGCTAAAGACAAGGATGGCGAAACAGTGCTGTACTGGGCTGCTAGGGATGATAATTGGGAGGTGGTCAAATTGCTGGTAAATAAAGGAGCTGATGTTAATGCCAAGCTGTACTGGGCTGTTCGGGAGGGTAAGTGGGATGTAGTAAAATTGCTGGTAAATAAAGGAGCTGATGTTAATGCCAAGGACAGCTTGTATATAACAGTGCTGTACTGGGCTGCTCGGGAGGATAAGTGGGATGTAGTCAAATGGCTGGTAAATAAAGGAGCTGATGTTAATGCTAAAGGTAATTATGGCGAAACAGTGCTGCACCAGGCTACTAAATCTGGTCAGTTAGATGTGGCCAAATGGCTGGTAGAACAAGAAGCTGATGTTAATGCCAAGGACAACTTGTATATAACAGTACTGTACTGGGCTGCTTGGGATGGTAAGTGGGATGTAGTCAAATTGCTGGTGGAGGAGAAAGGTGCTGATGTTAATAGTCTTACTCGTGAGCAAAAAGAGAGATTATTAGATAATGCTAAACAATATGGTTGGCAAAATATTGTAGATAAGCTAAGTGTTGTAGGTATACAACAAATCCAGTCTCAATCAAAGCAACAAAAAGCATTCCTACATCTTGGAAAGTACGTCTCACATCACTTTTTTACAGTCAAAATAGAAGCAATAAAGCAAGGACTATATTTACCAGTATTTGAATCTAGAGGAGTTAAGATTAACGGTAAATGTGCTTCAATTACTAGGGCTGTTTCTCAGCTCTTGTTCTTGAAGGACGCATCGTTAAACTTCCAGCAACTATTTCTTTCTAATCTCCAGGTTGCAGCAGAGCTTTACGAAAGATTAGCTCAAGGTAAACAAATATCAAGCAGAGAAGAGAAGGAGATATTTGCCTTAAGTAAGCTGTTAGATGATTTTGAGTTAGAACTAGATTCACCAACAAGCAGCTTACCATCCTCTCTAAGTCAAATTAAAAACTATAAGAAGTTTGCTGATTTATCTCATTATATTTCTACTCTCACTGGTGACTTTGCTATTCATTTAGTAACCTGTAACCATGTAGTAGCAATCTATCGAACTGGTGATAATTATGCTTATTTTGATAGTAATGTTGCTTTAGTTACTAATGTAAAAACTGTTGATCAGTTGATGAGGATTTTAAATCACGCAGTGAAGCTTGCTGGTTATGAGATAAAAGAAGATGGGTTTTTAGTTGAACAATTTGATGTTATTAAGGCCAATCGACTTTTGTCTTCTAGGCAGAAACAAGTTCTAACTACACCAATTCAAACAGAAAGACAATTACTCTCTCTACAAGATCAGGAATTTGGTCTTATCAGCTTTAATGGTCAGGAATTATCTCGGGTGATGTTGTATGATTTTGGTACTAAACTTCATCTAGAAGACACAGTGGGAATCTTGATTAATTCCGACATGAGTTTAAGTAATGAAAATTTTGCTGCTTATTTGAAGATAAATAAGGTAACTATTACAGCTGGTGAATATTTAGAAAAACTTAGAAGTAATTCCGGCAAAGTATCAGAAATAGTTCAAACCACTAAGTCTATTAGTTTTGCAGGTTCTAATCGTGAGGTCAAGAACGCTAAGCAAGTGCAAGAGTTGCTTCTTTCCGACCAAGGTAGTAAGTTACAATCTTATCATTTAAACAAACTACTTAAATCTCCTATTGAACAATCGATGAAAGCTCTACCCTACTATCTTGAGTCAGCAAAAACTAAAGGTTGGCCAGATCGTTTAACTAATGCAGCAGGTAGGATCTCAATGTTCCATGGAGGCTATAGTACTTTGCAGGCTTTACGTTATGGTGATGATCTAGGTTTTGCTCTAGGAGTAGGAGAGATGAGCTTTTCTTTAGTTTCGCAGTTAATTGAGGATGGTATTGTTAAAGTAACTCCTGGATTAATTAAACAAATGAGACATGGTATTCTTCTATCACGAGGGGTAGCTGGAATTATTACTTCTCCATTTGATATTTATGACTTAATTAGTTCATCTATTGATGCCTCAAAAGCAGTGCAAGGGTCGAAGGAATGGCGAGATAGTATTGCCGGAGCAGCATTTGCCGGAAGTTCAGTAGTATCGGCAATAGCTTTTACTGCTATGAATAAACCAGGAGCTGGTACTATTGTTGGGCTTGTTATTATTCTAGGCCAAACTATTTATAGCGGTGCTAGTATGGTTATAGAATATAAGAAATATCAGCTAACTACTGATGAGGAGTTTAGATTATTTTGGCATAGCTTTGCTCTGCAACTTCCACCTGAAACTGTGCAATATATTGAAGCGAGGAAAAATTCTATCAATGAATTAGCCAAAAACATTTGGCAGCGACTACAAGCAAGTGGCGGGCAAGTAGCAGCTTATGCTACTGGGCTTGGAGAGATTAGTTTTCAAGATCCACCAGCTGAAAACCATTTTCCTAGCAATCACCAAATAAGACCATATGGTCAATCAATGGATCCTTTAGCTGGTCCTATTGATTTATCATCTTCCTTAGACCTAGATGCAATTAAAATTAAGCCTAGGATTCCTATTTTGTCTGCCAGCAATAGCACGATATTAATGGGATTATCAGGGCTTAAAGGTAATAATTATAACTATTTCTTATCTCGTATTTTACCTGATACTCCAGCTACTGCAACTGAAATGATGTGTTTACCAGCTTTTTCTGGTAAGGATTATGAATATGATAATAGTTTAGGTAAAGAAAGACCGTTGTATCAACAATCTTCTGTTGTTACTTCTTATTGTGAGAATGCAATTATTGTAGCTGATAAACAAAGGATAAAGCAGAGTAATAAGGAAGTTATTTATGATTTAAGTCTGGTTAAGGAAGGAATAATAGTAGGTAGTGATCAACATAAGAACCGTTTTGTTGTTGCGCAAAACTTCAATTCTACTACCCAAAGACTTGAACCTTTCGTAAGTAGAGTAAGAATATTAGGTGGCGCAAATACTCAAAACTCATTTATTTTAAGTAATGAATTATTTTTAGGAGTTCTTATTGGTGGTATTAACTCTACTAATCTCCTCGATGTACATCACGTAGAAGCTAGTAACTATTCGTTAAAAATGAATAATTTATTAACTTTAGATAGAACTGACTATGTACGAGATTATCTAGGACAAAAGAAAATGGTGCAAGAAGATTACAATGTTTATAACATAAATAATTTAGTAATTTCAGCAAATATTACTGTTGCAGGAAAAGGTAATGGTACTTTCTATGTAAAACCAGCTGTTGGTTATTCCCAAATCAGCATGTTATCAGGCAAGGGACAGCTGATATTTCCAGAAAACTACTTATTAAGAGAAGCTAATTTTACTTATCATCTAGAGAATCATCTCTTATCTTTACAAATACCAGTAAATCAAAGTGACTTTACCCTTGATATAAAAAACTGGCAAAAAGAATATCAGTTTGAACTAATAGATAAAACGGGAGTAATTGAGCCATTAATTGAATCAAAAAGTAATGATTCTACTATAGAAATTGATTCATTTTACCTAAAAGCAAAAACTGAGGTAGCATATAATGAAGTTCCAGCCTGGTATAGAAACATGACGCAAGAAAAGCAAGTATACGGAGTTGTAGAGCTAACAAACTATCCAATGGTACAAGAACAACATGATCTATCGCCAGAAATGATTTTTGCTACCTCTCAATCTGATGTAATTCCTATAGCTAAACAAACCTTCTATGCTGAAGGTGGTAATGGTAGTGACATATATAATATTGTAGAAGATCAGAATATATTCACTGCTCAAATTAACAATTATGCTGAGGATAAGGCTCCAGATGTGATCTATATCCCAACAACAGAAGCTATAAAAGTTCAAAGAGAAAGCAATAACTTGCATATATATACCGCGACCCATTCAGTGCAAGTAAAAGACTATTTCCTTGGTGATAATTATCAACATCTAACAATTGTCAATAAAAATAAGGAGGTGTTTATTCCTCTAGAACTAGAATCTGAAGTTAAGTTAATTCCTTTTTATCATGCTACTGATAATCAACATGAGTTTTCATTATCAGCAGAAAAGCTAGGACAAAATTGCGAAATTGTCATTGATGCAGAATTAGCTCAAATAAGATTTTATCGGCAAGATAATGATCTGTTGTTAATAGAAACTAATAAGATTTTAATAATTAGGCTAGAAAACTTCTATGATCAAGCTCAAACTTCAAACCTTACTTTACATTTTTACCATAATGATCAGCAAGATAAGCTAGATAGCAAACAGTTATTTGAATTAGCTAAGTTAGCAATTAATTATCGAGATGAAGTAGAAGAGATATATCAAGATAATATTAAGGAATATGTAATATCTAATTCCGAATCTACCATTATTCAGCATAATCAGGAGCTAGTTAATGGTACTTTGACAACAGTAGAGGAAGATGATAAACGAATAGGCATAATAGAGTTTGAGGATAATATTAAGCCTACTGATGTTAAAGTATCGACTAATAATGATGATTTAGTACTGTCAATTAGTAACTCTAACAGTACTAATAGTAGTGTAACTGTGCAAAACTGGCATAATCTTGAACATAGAGTGGCAATGGCTAGATTCTATTTAGGAGCAAAAGCAATGGAGATTGCCGGATTAGATAAATTTGCCCTAGCTCAAGCTGCAAATCTCCAATTTTTGTTCACTAAAGCTGGATTAAGCAATATTGCTGATCAACAATTAGCAAAGTTAGATGCTCAGCTAGTAAATAGCCTCAAATATTTACTAGCAGTACGTAACATAGAAAATGATATTGATAGTCATAAGATTTTAGGATTTGACTCACAAGAGGATCAAGGGAAATTTGTGGCTGCCTATTATACTATTGCCAATTTAACAGAACTAGGTCAAGCTACTAAGGTAGCACATGCCTTAGTATGGTTAATTGCTCAAGGCTATACTAGTTTGTTATTGGAAGACCATAATATAGAGAAAAAGTCACTGCTAAATAATCTAGATAAATGTTTTAATAGTGTAGTTAATAAAGGGACTATAAGTAAAATCATCAACAAACTAGAAATAGAAAATATAGAAGAAATAGTTTCTAACATAGAATCTTTTATAACTAGTCATCAAAAAGCATTAGAAGGTAAAATAAAGAATAGTACAGAAACAATTGAGGTAGCGGTCTGCTTACCATTCTTCCTTTAATTTAAAGAAACTCAAACAAGACAGTCAAATAGCAGATGCTGTAGTGTGGTTAATGGTAAAAGGATATACTAGTTTGCTATTGGAAGACCATAATATAGATAAAAAGTTGTTAATAAATAATCTAGATAAATGTTTTAGTTTTGTAGTTAATAAAGGGACTATAAGTAAAATCATCAACAAACTAAAAATAGAAAATATAGAAGAAATAGTTTCTAACATAGAATCTTTTATAACTAGTCATCAAAAAGCATTAGAAGGTAAAATAAAGAATAGTACAGAAACAATTGAGGTAGCGGAAGTAACAGAAATACCCGATACAATAGAAGTAGTCAAGGTAGTAAATGTGATAGCAGAAGACAAGCATCAAAGGAAAATTAGAGCNTAACTAGTCATCAAAAAGCATTAGAAGGTAAAATAAAGAATAGTACAGAAACAATTGAGGTAGCGGAAGTAACAGAAATACCCGATACAATAGAAGTAGTCAAGGTAGTAAATGTGATAGCAGAAGACAAGCATCAAAGGAAAATTAGAGCAGTAGATGAAGTAGATAGCACTGACTACTTAGCAACAGAAGAGCAGTCAGTTACCAGCAAAGCAAGTAAGCCAGCCTCAATATTTGATTGGGGAGTGAAGTGGCTCAGAGAATGGCTTGATCTATCTAAAGATACTACTACAAATAAAGAAATTATAGAAGGAGTTGACAATATTTATACTTTTAATAATGACTTTGCTAGTTCTGGGGCTAAGATAATAGTTGATTCAACTGAAGAACCAGAAAATGATCCAAATATTCCATTTACTCAAGGGGTTGAGAAATTATTTAGAGTTAACTTATATGAGAGGGGTTTTATGTCAAGAGCACAATATTTAAAATCAAGACGAGGGCTAATTTCTAACTTGAAAAATAATAGTAAGTTATCACCAGGGAATCTTCAACAGGTCAATATTAATCCAGGAATCGATAAATTAGTAGAATACCAGCAAAAGCATTTTGGCCAGTATACGGAAAAAATACAGGAACCTACTCAGCTTAAACGCTATCGTCGCTCTGATAGTGATGATGAAAGAGAAAATAACAGAAAGTTATTTTCAGCTATAAGCAAAGGTAAAGTACAGAAGGTTGAAGAACTTCTAAATTCAGGAGTACAAGTTAATGTTGTAGATAAAAATAATAAAGATAACACCCCTTTACACTATGCTATTGAAAAGAATAAAAAAGAAATTGTTAAATTACTTTTAAAACAACAGGGAATAAATATTAATGCTAAGAATGATAAAGGTAAGACACCACGAGATTTAGCTAGAGATCAAAATAATCAAGAGATTCTTGATATGTTAGAGGAGCATCTGCAGAAACATTCCAGTTCTGGAGTTGATTCTCAACAGCAAGGATCTCAACTAATATCTGCTGGTACTGATCAGCAAGTAGCGGGAGGATCGGCTATTGATCTACCATCAATTCAGCAATCTCCTCTAAAAAGAAAGGCAACTAACAGTGATGAAGAAGGTACAGCTAAAAAAATTAGGCCCATTGACAGTATAATCGATATAAGCACAGATAATAGCAGGAAAAGAAAAGTTGCTAATAATGACAATGATATTGTTGCAGCTAAAAGACAATTTTTAGATAACTTAGAAATCCCTAGTGAAGGGTCAAAACTTGCACAACATGGCAATATTTTTCAGTTAAAGTTGCTAATGTTATTTTTATGGCGTGCTAAAGAAAGTAATTATAATGCCTTTCGTCTAGCTACAGAATTGTCGGAAGCTGAAAAATTTGACGATGTAGTTTTTCAATATCAACAAAATAATGACCAACAAAATAATGGTGAAAAATGGAAATTTCGTTTATTGCAAGCTAAACATAAGGAAGGAGCTACAGCAGAAGCAGAGTTGTCAAAAATTAAAGAAGCAAACTTGTTGTCAACAGATGATGGTGAGGCTTTCAGCTTACAAAAATACTTCCGTTCTTATCTTAAAATTAAGCAAAGATCTAAAGAAAGCTCCATATATTCTGTATTTTCAGAAAGCGAAATAGAAGATATTATTGTTATTACTAATACTGATTTTGATTCTGATAGGTTAAAAAATAATTTTGCAGTAGATCGAGAAAAGGATATAGAAGCAGATGAATTACTCAAGGTAGACAAAGATCACAATACGCAATGGCAAGAAGCCTTGGTTTACAAATTAAAAGACCAAGAAAATAATGCAATAGTTAGAAAGTTAAAACCAATATTCAAAAATACTTCAGATTTTTACAAACTGGTTGAAGAATTAGCTGAGCATATATTGATAGAAAAGCAAATAGATAAAACAGGTCTCTTCAAAGACTATTACTACCCGTTGATTAGGGAGGTATTTACGATTAAGAGGGAGGAAGGAAAGTCGGAATATTATCTTGAATTTCTGTCTAAATTCATAAACGAAGATGTGCTGCCTAAAGAAACAACAGAATTTAGAGATGCTGTAATAAAAGAAATAACCTTTATACAAAATAATCAAGAACCAATAAAAATATCTGCAGAATTTGGAAAGAATGAACTACCAAGTGATGACTCTCAATTAGAAGAGTTAGCGAAAAAACTTGCTAGTTTTATAGAAAGAAAACAGGAACTTACTGTATCTGATTTTGAAGATTATCATGTTGCATTAGCAACTGAAGTGATTAACCCTGATACTAAAAAATTTCGTAGTAATTTTATTAACTCTAAAAAAGATCTAAATAAAAAGAAGCTGAGAGATTTCTTTAAAACAGAAATAGTAAGAATAAGACAAAGCAAAAAAATAACAAATGACCAATTAAAATCTATCGAGTTCACGGTATCTCGAGACTTTGGAGAAAGTAAATTACCAGATGATGACAGTAAGTTAGAAAAATTAGCGAAAACTCTTGCTGATACTATAAAGAACACAGAGGAGTTAAAGCCATCATTATCAGAAGAGTTTAAAAATTACCATGTTGTACTAGCAAAAGAGGTGATTGATATAAACACCAAGAAATTTCACGAGATTTTTATCCATGGAAAAGTTAAAGAGGGTAATAACATTAAACAATTATCTACCTTATCTAAACAATTTAGAAGAATTTTACTTGATAAAATGGTAGATGCTGATCAAGTGCAAAGTACTAAAGATAGTCTTAAGGCAAAAAAAATAAAAATCTCTAAAGGATTTACAGAAGAATTTAAACAAGTAGATAATCCTGAAATTCAAGATATACAAGAATTTGCTCAACAAATAAATGAATTACTGTCTAAGAGTATAAATGAAAAGATAGTTGAAATTAATGAAAATAGTGTAGCAAAAGAGAAATTTAATATATTTACAGCTAATATTCAGAAGCTTGCAGGACATGTGTTAATTAAAAAGTTTAATAAGATACATTTTAGTACTAGTTTTTTGCGTTCAGATGAATTGCCAGGTAATTTAAAGAATTTTAGAGATGAATTGAAAAAATTATTAGGAGAAGATAAATTTGCATCAATTTATGAATATGAATTTGCTATTAAGGGATTTAAATTTAAAACCTGTGAGGAGGGAGCTTTAAATAGAAAATTGCCTATTTTATATGAAGTTAACGATGTAACAGAATTTTTCAATAAATTAAAGTTTGTAGTTAATTATCCTAATAGGATAGGAGTTAATGATCTATTAGAAGGAGAAATACAAAATAACCTTAAAAAGCTTGATAGTAAAGCTTTTAACTCTCTTTATCAAGAAGACCTCCATAATTGGATGGCAGATAGAGTAGGAACTTTTTACACAGTTAATAAGGCAACAACACTTTTTAATGAAATAAACAATAATCTTTCATTGTGGACGATAGATGGTGTTACTAAATCTTACTTTGCTGATGTTTCTGAAAAATATAAATTTAAGGAATATAATGATCTTACTAACTTTTTACACAATGAACAACAAGTCTTACATCTTGTTTTTCAAGATTTACGACTAGGTCGCATTAGAATAGTACAAACATTTCAAGACTTACAAAAAATAGACTCTAATAATATAAGGCAATATACTCGAGGATTTGGTCATATTTTCCTGTTTTTAGAGCAATTGTTAAAGAAGGAATTTCGTGAAGAAGTGTTAGAGTGTTTTAAAAACGATAAAAAAGGAAATTTAATAGTAATAGAGTGTAACTATGATATTCCTCAGAGAGAAGTAGAGGAATTATATGATAAATTATCTAAAATAATACAGCCCAATACTAATAAAAAAATTATTTTAATTACTGAGAAAGATGATTCTCTAGCTAATAGGTTTGAAACTGAACCTAAAGGTAAATATACAAAGAAAGATGATATAAGTAGTTTTAATGATCTGACTGAAGAATCACAGGAGAAACTTTTAGAGAAAGAAGTAATCTTCCAAGGAGAGAAAATAAGTTTAAATAAATTAATCAATGAAGATCAAAAAGAACTAATAGATACAGAAACATTGACTAAGCTTATTACTGGTGAAGAAGTTAAGATAGGGAATAAATTACCAATTTCCAGTGGTTATGATAGGGATTACTATATAGACCGTATATTTAATTGCCAAGTAGAGATTAAAAAGGAAATACAAAAAGACCAGGATAAT